CACGCGACCTCCCTCATTGAAGTTTTAACATACAGATCGCACGTGATGCTTAGCGATTACATATGGCAAGCCAATGGGATAGTACTAAAACGCACTCGACACAACTGCTATGTGTTGTATACCTGATCTCAAGAAATCGAACACGCGACCGCCCTCATCGGGATGGCTAACAAACAGTAAGAGAGAAGAGAGGAGATCAACAAAACCCAAGCACATGGCAAGACAGTGGGATAATGCTAAGACGCACTCAACACAACTCGCAATTCTGGACCATGATCCGATCTCAAGGATCGAACACGTGATCCGATCTCAAGGACCATGATCCGATCTGAAGGATCGAACACGTGATCCGATCTCAAGGATCGAACACGTGACCTCCCGCATGGTTTACACACAGTAAGAGGGAAGAGGGAAGAGGGAAGAGGGAAGAGAGGAGGTTAAGAAAACTCGAGCCCATGCATTACTACGAATAAAAAAACATTCATGAAGAACGATCATCTTCCGATAGACCCTGCGCAGCGTTTCATCCGGTTGCCAGTGCGGAATCGTCAGGGAAAGCGCTAAGCGATCAAAAAAAAAAAAAGGGAAAGCGTTCAGGGGTCATTGGTGTACCTGGCAGATTACCTGTCGGGACAAGCACTGACAAGCGATAAAAAAAAAAAAAAAAAACAGAAAGCGTGTCTTTTCGGCATCGCAGATGCGGCGCAAGGATCACAAACACTAATCGAGAAACGATCCAACTAAAAGAAAAAGGAACAAAAAAAAAAAAAAAAGAATCGAAAAAGCGATCAATGACAGAAGCGAGAGAGTAATGATTACCATTTGCTGCTAATGAATATTGAGAATTAACGAACATTCTTTTACGGTCCGCAATTTATAAAAACCGAAGAACGAGACCAATGACAGAAGCGAGACAGTAATGAAGAACGAGATTTGGAAATAAGGAAAGAAAAATAGAGATTTGGAGGTACAGAGAAAGTAAAGCGGTATAGCAGCCGCAGTGTCCGATCTTTTCTTTTTTCTTTCTTTTTTTTTTTTGGCATAGCAGCCGCGGTGTCCGATCTCAGAATCGAACTCGCAAAAAATACCAGTAAACCGATAAATAGATCCGTAAAAATTGAAAAATAGAAGGGAGGGGGGGAAACGAAAAAGACGAGGCAGGCATTCTTCCTTCGGTAGCATCCTTGAGAATTGGAACGATACAGAGAAAAGATAGATTACCGTCTTCACCGGAATAGAGCGCCCAGTCATTGCAGCTGTATTTGGTGCAACTTTCAGTCTGGATACAGCTGGAATGACCGCGCGTGCTATTCAGATGAAGAGGGTGACGTGGCCCCTGCGCAAGGATGACACAACACGCACGAATCGATACATAGACGAAACATTATATCATATATTTTCAATTAAAAATTGAAAAAAAAAGAAAAAAACAGTAGCCCGCGTGGCAGCAGAGGGAATGCCAAGAGATACACTTCAAAGACAAACAAAAACAAAAAACACACACAAAAAAAAAAAAGAGATAAGACTTCGGTTGTCAGCCCACTGATCGTCAGATGTGAGAAGGAAAAAAACAAATGTGAGAACGAAAAAGCAGTCCACCGATCGTCAAATGTAAGAACGAACCAAAAAAAAAAAAACGGCGAGTGTATCTTTCCACGCTCTAGCTGAAGATACACTCGGCACTTCAGCACGTTTGGACAATAATACGCAACAGGCAGACCCATACTACCGTCTTGCCCCGAACACGACGCACCCTGATAATGAATGAACGAATTCCAGCCATCTTTCCGGTCCGGTTCAGTCGAAATGAGGCTGCGCTGTGTTCGGGGGAAGACGGTAGGCAGGAGAGGTAGGCAGTAGAGGTAGCCAGCTACCCCCTAAAAGAACGGGCGGGCTACAATCAAAAGTAGGAGGGAGGGAGGGGGGGGCAGGAGAGATTAGACGCAATGAATCCGTAGAGCTCTAGAATTTCGTCCCTTGAAATCTAGGAGCGAGGGGGCAGGCGGGCTACCTCCCTTGAAATCTGTCCAAGACAGAATCAGGGACAAAACAGAAAACAACGACAGCACCAGACAGACAGAGAACATGCAGACGCTGAGGAGTAAGGTCGGGATCTCGACCAGCAAGTCGCAGACGAACATACCTCTTCTCGGAGCTCCAGGATTTCGTCCCTCGAAATTTTTTCCAAGGCCAGACAAGAGACGTGGCTGCTTAGGACCCCCACGATGGCGATCGCGATCGCGATCGCTATTAATAGACTTGAGAAAGGGAGGCGGTCGGTCCGAAGATCCTTCTTCTCCATCATCTCCATCTTCTTCATCTTCTTCTCCTTCTGCTTCGTTGTCGTCGAGAGAGAGCGGCACAACGATATCGATGACCTTAATACCATGGGCTCTGCTTTGTTCTTTAAGCTCTACAAGCGTTGTGAGACGGCAGAATCACAACGGACGAACGAGCGTTCAAGACCTATCGATCTCTCCTCCTTTCGCTTCTTCTCGCACAGCCCAAGGGTCAAACGAATAGTCCACTTTCTCCTCTCCCTACCCCTCCTCCGTCTCCTTCTCCTCCTCCTCTTCTTCCTCCTATCAACGTATCGTCTTCCTTCTCTTCAGCGTCGTCCTACTAAATCTCCAGCGCTTGTTCCCCCTCCTTCCCCCTCCCCTACCTCCTCCTTCCTCCTCCTTCCTCCTCCTCCTTCCTCCTCCTTCCTCCTCCTCTGTCCTCCTTCCTCCTCCTTCCTCCTCCTTCCTCCTCTTACTGCTGATACTATCAATCTGTCAGATCTCTGTTGCCGCAGATATAGTATGCGCGCGCACACAGAATTGTGAGTGTGAATGTCAAAACCGTCCACCTTTTACATCTCCCGCACACCAGGGCGAACTAGCCTTCTTCCCTCTTCTTGATCCTTGTCCACCTTTCCTCCCTCCCACCGCCACTGTCGGTTCCAGCATTGAGGACGAAGAAGATGGCTTACACACACTCCACCTACTCTCCTCTTCCTTCTCTCTTCCTCATCCTTGTCTCACTCGCACTCCCCTTCTCTTGATACCGCCGCCGCTGTTTCGAAACTACGATTCAAATCTCTTTCTTCCCGCGCAAGTCGAGCGATCCTGGCAGCGAGTCATTTTTCCCGCGCAAAAAATACAGAAACCGATGTTAACGACGCATCTTTCCGCTTCGATTCAAATCTCTTCGTCTTTCTTCCCGCGCGCGCCCAAGGCAAGCGATCCTCTTCTTTTCCCCGCGCGAATTTTCGTTGCGAGGACAAGAACAAAACAAGAAAGGGGGGAAAAAAAAATGCTAACTACTCCGCGCTCCACTGCTATGTCGACTCCACGATTCAAAATCGACTCTCTTTCTTCCCGCCCAAGCACTCACAGCGAGCATGAGAAGAAACGTTCGTTCGCTCTTCGTCTCTCACCCGCTCATCGCTCTTCCTCCCGCGCATTCTCCTCCTCCTCCTCCTCCTCCTCCTCCTCCTCCCTCGGCGCGTCCTTCAGCCGCTACTGCTTCTGCCACGTGCAATGCTCCTGCTGCGGTTCTGTATCTCTCTGTTCCAGATCTATCTTCCCGCGGCGCGCTTTGTCACGTGCTATGCTCCAGCCGCCGCCACTGCTTTGTGCCACGTGCGCTGCTCTTCTGACCTTTGATCTCTGTTATCTACGGTCAGAAATCAAGTAGAGACGAAGGCTATGGGCGGGAAGAAAGGTCGATTTGCAACGCGGGACCGCGCGCTCTCTTCTTCGAAGGAGGGGCGCGATGAGCGGGGGAAAGAGAAAGCTCGTCACAACCGACAGAGAGTGCTCCTCCTCCTCCTACTACTCCTCTCTCCTCTCTCTCCTCTCTCTCCTCTCTCCTGCTGCTGCTGCTGCTCCTGCTGACTGGCTTTGAGATTCTGGATACGCCTGCGGCGGCTTCAATTTTTCTCTTCCCGCGCAATTTTCCCCTTCTTCCCACTTGGCCTCGATCGAATCAAGATCGAGATCGAGAAGATCGTAACGACGACAACACGTTGCTAGCGCACGGATCTCTTTTCCGCCGGCGCAACGACGCACCTCCTACCTCTCCTCTCTCTCTCTCTCCCTCTCCTTTCTCTTGCTTCTCTTCTGCCTTTGCCCCCGCCACTTCCGCCCCTTCACTCACCCCTGTCTCTTATACACATCTAGATGTGTATAAGAGACAGCACACACACACACACACACACACACACACACACACACACAGGCTCTTCACTTTTACCTCGGTGATAATATTTACGCATCATCTCCACTTCCAACAAGGAAAGAAGCGGGAAGACGTATGGGTCAACCACGTCAGCATCTTTTCACTCAGGTCGTCAATCGCGCAGATAATTCGTAAGCCTTTTCTCATGACCGAAATAAGGAGGACCCTAACCAAGAGGTTCAACCAAATGGTGCAAACAATGCCGAGAACCCAGTAAACGAAAAACAAAATTCACAACAAAGGCAAGGAGTCCGATCGATCGATCGATCGATCGGGCACGCAAGGGCGATGAAATCTCTCTACAAGGACGGGAAACAAGAGGAAATAGTGATAAACAGAGGCCAAATTGTCTCTCGTGCATACTTCCATACATCATGTGTTTAATACCCAACCGCACGCATTGAGCTCAGAGAAATTGCGCGCCTCTCCCTGCGCGTCTCGGCCAAGTTGCGCGCCTGGCACTCCTCAGGGGCCTCCGAAGGAAGGAGAAGAAGAATAGTGAAAACAGTGGCCAAGTGAAAACAGTGGCCATAGACTGCCTCTCGTACAAACATCGATACTTAGATTTGCATTACTTCTCCGCATGTACAGTTCTCAGCATGAAACTTCATGGCAATCTCCCCGACGCGTTTCGGCCACGCTGCGCTCCTGGCACGCCTCAGGGGGATTCTCCCAAAGTCGCCTTGCCATGTCTCTGAGAAGAAGAACTAGAAGCAGAAGAAAAAGAAGAAGAAGAAGAATAGTGAATAGTGAAAAACAGGGGCACTGCCTTTCGTACACGCTTCGGAGGTTCTTCGGTACATAGCCGCGCATAGAAGAGTCTCAGCTCACGCGCACATTCCCCCACGCGCGTTCCGATCGGCTGTGCTGCGATCATCCTCAGGTGGCTTCCCGCACAACCATGCCTTACGGCCCACCAAAAAGCGGAGGAGGAGGAGGAGGAATAAGAAGAGGGGTTAGCTAGACGAGACAGCAGTGAGAGCGAATCAAGACTACGATGACCAGATTCAGTGTACACGACCGCGAACAGCCCGTAGAGAGAATTCAACGGCCAGAAGTGGATGCATCTGACCGCATTAACGGCCAAACGTGGATGCAACTCACCGCAAATACGGGCATGTACCCACGATGACCAGATTCAGTGTGCACAACCGCGAACGGCCCGTAAAGAGAATTCAACGGCCAGACGTGGATGCATCTGACCGCATTCACGGCCAGACGTGGATGTATCTGAACGCATTCACGGCCAGACGTGGATGCATCTGACCGCATTCACGGCTAGACGTGGATGCATCTGTTCACGGCCAAACGTGGATGCACCTAACCGCAACTACGGGCATGTACCCCACGATGACCAGATCAGCGCACACAACCGCGAACAGCCCGTAAAGAGAACAAAGAGTGTGCACGTGTGTACGTGGGTGCATGCGAGGCGAGAAAAAGAAAGAGGGAGGGAGAGAGAGAGAGAGAGAGAGGCAGTGGAGTGTCAGACAGTGGACCCAATCGATACGGACAAGGAAAAGGAAGGACCGATGATGATCCCATCGACAACACAGCCTCTCTGTCTCTCTCTCTCTCTCTCTCTCTCTCTCTCTCTCTCTCTCTCTGTGTTTGTCGGAAAAGGAAGGACCGATGACGATCCCATTGAGGACATCTACAAGATGGGGGTTTTATTGCCCAACCATGGCCAAAGCGGAGTAGAGGAAAAGAGCGCAGAAGCGACAAGCGAAAGTGGGAAAACGGATAAAGAAAAAAAAAACGATAGACACGGAGAAATCAAAGAAGAAGGCAAATTTTCTTCCATAACGCAATGATGAAGAGAGGAAAAGAAACAAGAGCAATGAGAGAGAGAGAGAGAGCACCAGCGTGTCGAGACCAGTCTGCGAGTGGGATCGAGACCAGTCTGCGAAACGGGATCGACTTGGCAGAACAGAACAGGAACAAACATGATCAATAGAGAGCGAGATCCTCTCTCTCTCTCTCTCTCTCTCTCTCTCTCTCTCTCTCTCTCTCTCTCTCTCTCTCTCTCACACACACACACACACACACACACACACACNTCCCTGCGCATTGAGCACCACTACCACTTTCCTCCTCCTCCCTCCTCCTCCTCCTCCTCTTGCTCCTCCCCACTACCTCCCCCTGCCTCCCCCTCCTGGATTTCCACCAGACGAGGCCGTGCAGCTGCCGCTACAACTGGAGCTGCAGCTAGAGCCGGAGCTGAAGTCGGGGCTGCTGCGTCGGGACATCGTCGCAGAGCGCGCTATGCAACATAAAGACCGCGACCGCGACCCCGACGGCGACCGATCGAAACTCTCTGGGGGCGCGGGCGACCAGACCCCAGGGGAAACACGCCGTATACGACAAACGGAAAAACAAAAAAAACAAATTGTCCAAGAGACGGAAAAGGGGGAAAATGGGGCAGAAAGAAAGCCCGCCAATTCTCTCTCGTTTTCCTTCTTTTCGCTTTTTCTTTTTCCCCCTCCCACCATCCCTCTGAGGTTCGGTTTCGGCGACCCCTAACCCAGTCTTTCTCGGGGAAAGGTCCCACTTGCACGGATTAGGAGATTCGGCCGTCGATCTTTGCTATCTACGGTCTTAATTCGTGTAACTGGGACCTAGTCCCCGGGGTCAAGGGCCCACTCGCACGGATTACGAGATTCTGACCGTTGATCTGTGCTATCTACGGTCAATATCGCTTAATTCGTGTAAGTGGGACCTAGCCCCGGAACATAACTCGCATGCGTTGTAAACGTGTAAAACGCATGCTTTCGCTTTCTATTCGAATACAACCTACATGCGTTCTATCCGAATAGACCTAATTTTCGAAGACAACGCATATGCGTTCTATTCCCATTTATTGAATGTTTTGAAAATTTGAAAAACTCGAATACAACGCATGCGCGTATTTCAGGGGAAGACGGGGTAGGGGGAGGTCCCACTGGCGTAGCAGCAAAGAGGGTTGGATTTTACACCTGAAATTTGATCTGGTTTTCTGTATCCTTTCGTAAAATGCGTCCATGTTCAGGCACTCTTTGCTACCGGGTAGGTAATGGGACTCGGCCTGTGCACACCCTTCATTCACATTCAATCGAACCTCTCCGCCACGAACCCGTTGGACTGCCTCTCGTGGAGCCAAGTCCCAGTAGGAACGTGGAGTTTCCTCCACGCCTGAATCTGGACGTACTTGTGGAGATCGCG